ATAACACATATAAGTGAAGAGACCAATCACAAATTCCTACAAGGTAATAAGACAGAATTTCCTATTCCACAGAGGTTTCTCACAAATATTTACACAGGTGCATTTTCAAAGCCCAAGCAACACCACTATTACCTTCAACAACCACCCAAACCCCTTTGTTTTCCAATTACAGGGAAGGCTTTATTACAGTTTGAAAGATTAATATTTTGGGGAGAAAGGCACCACAATTACTATTTTTACTTTTTGTGCATATGGCACAAAGGAGATATGCCAAGGTCCCACTCTGGAGCTTTTGAAACCTCTCATCTTGGATCGGTGTGGCTTCTTGGGTGAAGCATCCTGGCGTTAGAGCTTAAAGCATTTCTCATTGTATCTATGGATAGTCACACAGCCATGATAGGACACTGGCCTGGGCATTGCAGCTACCCCTGTGATGATGCTCGTTGCAGGATCGTAACAGAGAATAGTGTCTGTGGCTTCTCCATTTTCCCGTCTTCCACCCAGGATATATATTTTACCATTACACACAGACATACCACAGTTTTCCTGTTTTAACAAACACATAAAAAACCCCACATTAATTGTTGAAGGTAAGAGATTTGGTAACAAGCTGAAAAGTAAAATAAGACATGGTTTAACACTGTCAATAAAAGGAAACATGAAATAAGCTCCCTTTTGCTAACTTTTACTCTATGTGCGAGTGCTAATTTTGCATGGATGAAGTGAGTGTTAAGATAAAATATATGTTAGTAATTGGGCCAAGTTGGGGGGGGGGGGTGAAGCGAGGGTGGTGGGCTGAGAGATGGGCTTTAACCTAATGATAACTGAAAGAAAACATCTCTGAAGAGCTTGGCTTGTTTCTTCTATTACAGGAAGGTTCTTTATTATGGGAAGTGGCTATAATGTGACCACAGATTAGGATAGTATCTTCAGGTATAAAAGAATTAGTGAGTCTGGTCCGGTAGCTCAGGTGGGTAGAGCATTGTCCCGATATGCCAAGGTTGCAGGTTTGATTCTCAGTCAGGGCACATACAAGAAGCAACCAATGAATGTGTAAATAAGTAGAAAAACAATTCAATGTTTCTTTCTCTCTCCCCCTTCCTCTCTCACTTTAAAAAATAAATATAATAATAAAAAAAAGAATTAGCGAGTACTTAAAAAAATCCTTCTATTATAGTTCATATACTTCCAGAATAACTTGACTGATTATCATTAGTGAGTGACAAACTTTTATCCAGAATACCTAACCCATGAATTGTACCAATTTATGTGCCAAACTATAACATTTTTCATCTAAAGTACACAAGCTATGCCCAGCCTGTATGGCTCAGTGGTTGAGCCTTGACCTGTGAACCAGGAGATCACGGTTCGATTCCCAGTCAGGGCACATGACTGGGTTGCAGGCTCGATCCCCAGTGTGGGGCGTGCAGGAGGCAGCCGATCAATGAGCCTCTCTTATTATTGATGTTTTAATCTCTCTCTCTCCCTTCCTCTCTGAAATCAATAAAAAAATAATATATATATATTTTAAAAGTACAAAGCTCTTTCTATAAATTCTAAAAGTTATCAATACACTAAAAAACAACATCCTGCCCAGCTGGTGTGACTCAGTGGTTGAGCACTGACCTATGAACCAGGAGGTCACAGCTCAATTCCCAATCAGGGCCGATCAATGACTCTCATCATTGATGTTTTTAACTCTTTCCCTTTCCCTTCCTCTCTGAAATCAATAAAAATATACTTTAAAAAAACACAAAACCAACAACATCTTTAAGTTTCCAGGGATAAGCAACACCACATGACTAAACCTTACAGTCACTTTGATGATGATTCTTAAACTATATTGTTATAGGACCTTGTTATTAACATCATTTCAGATAATAATGCTCAGAATTAAACCAAACAAGCAACCTTGAAATAGTTATACTTTCATATCAGGAAATTACATGTACTATAGATTAAAATGAAACACAATCCTAATATTGTAAAAAAAACCCCAACAACCCTCTCCTTAATTATTATTATTTATAATCCTTAGGCTTAAATGCCAACAATAAAGAATCATATTTCATTTATTATTCTAAACTTTAATGACATTTTAAATACCTGGTCTACTGAAGAAATATTAAAAAAAATCATCATCGAATTAAAATCCCACAATTTTTTTAAAAGAATGTTTCTGACAAGAATTAAAATGCAAAAATGTTTTAAATAGCAAGCTGTGGCTTTTAGGAATTATGCAAAGTCAAGAAACATGGAAATAGTGAGAGAGAGAGAAAAAGGCTGGGTCCATTTGGACTGCAAAAAAAAAAAGAGCTCGTTTTTTTAGCTCTTTTATGTCATTCAGGATTTTAAGCATTTAAGTAAATGTAGCCCTAGCTGGTTTGGCTCAATGGATAGAGTGTCGGCCTGTGGTCTGAAGGGTCCCAGGTTCGATTCTCACCAAGGGCACATGCCTGGGTTGCGGGCTTGACCCCCAGTAGGGGGCGTGCAGGAGGGAGCCAATTAATGATTCTCTCTCATCATTGATGTTTCTATCTCCCTCTCCCTTCCTCTCTAAAATCAATAAAATATATTTAAAAAAAAAATGTAGCCTTGGACTCAAATAACCGTCTACCATGAAATTAGATGATTTATCGTTTTTTAGTGAACAGAGAAGCCAGAAAAGGCATGAGGAGCTAAGGGGACAGTATGAACTAAGGCAGGAACACATAAGATCTATATAGAATGCAAATAATAGATATTAATATAATTGAGGTATAGTTGCAGAAAGTAAAGCTGAAAAAGCAAGCAGAGGTCAGCCAACAGAAGGCCTAGAATAGAAGGAAGTGGGAAAACTTTGGATTTTACTCAGTAGTTTCCAATCAGAGGAGACATGATTATTACATTTGTTAGAAAATAACTGGTGGCAAAACGGGTTAGAGAAGCAAGACATTAGCGAAACACTAGATTATTGTTTCAGTTCAGGTAGGAACTGATAAGAACTTGAACAAAAGCAAGAATAGGAATGGAAAAGAATAGGAGAAACTCTGAGAACTGATAGGCTAGATCAGGGGTGGGCAAACTTTTTGACTCGAGGGCCACAATGGGTTCTTAAACTGGACCGGAGGGCCGGAACAAAAGCATGGATGGAGTGTTTGTGTGAACTAATATAAATTCCAAGTAAACATCATTACATAAAAGGGTATGGTCTTTTTTTTTTAGTTTTATTCATTTCAAACGGGCCAGATCCGGCCCGTGGGCCATAGTTTGCCCACGGCTGGGCTAGATTGACTCAATATAAAAGAGAGGAAAATCTAAGAAATTTTCTAGCTGTGAAATAATAGGAAATATATATATACTAGAGGCCCGATGCATGAAATTCGGCCCTCGCAGTCGCGGCTTCGTTCGGAAGGTTGTTCAGCTGTCTGTTCTAATTAGCATATTATGCTTTTATTATTATAGATGTGTGTGTATATTTGTCTCTGGCCCCATGTTTCTGATACAGAGTGTCTGAATTCCTTGGAGTTTCCTGGGTGATAGGAGTGTCTTTCATTTTAATGAGGTGACTCTTGGTGGGTTCCTGGATGAGGGCTGGTCACCAGAAAGACGAAGCCATGATTAGAAGCTTGGAACTTTCAGGCCCACCCCCCATTCTCTGGAGAAGGGAGACAGGCTGGAAACTGAGTTAATAATTGATCATGCCTATATGATCTCCAAAGTATGGGATTTGGAGAGTGTTCAGGTTGTTGACACATCCATGTGTTGGGGGTGGCACACCTCAACTGCACGACAGAAGCTCCTCTGCTTGGGACCCTTCTGGACCTCATTCTATATACCTCTTTATCTGGCTGTTCACCTGTATCCTTTGCAAAACCCCTTTACACAATAAACCAGGAAACAAAAATAAATGTTTCCCTGAATGCAATGAGCTGTTCAAATAAATTATCGAACCTGAGGTGGGGGAACCTGGATTTTTAGCTGGTAGATCAGAAATACTGGGGGCAACCTGGAACTTGTGATTGGCATTTGAAGCAGGGCAGTCTAGTGGAACTAAACCCTTGATTTGTGGAATCTAACACAAACTCCAGGTATATAATGTCAGAACAGAATTGGATTGTAAGGCACCCAGACTGTGAAGAAGTAACTGGTGTGGGAAAAACGCACATTTCTGGTGTCAGAAGTATTTTGAGAGTAAGGGAGAAAAAGTTTTCCATTCACTAGCTTATTGGAAAACAAATAGTAGGCTTGGGGAAGAACACTCATGGAAAATATCAAATAAGCAGCTTGAAATTTGAGTCTGGAACACAGGAGAGAGGCTTTAATGGAGATAATAGACTTGAAGTCATCAGTATTGGGCAGTAGATGAGATAATTCAGGAATAGAGTATAAACTGTGAAGACGGCAGGGGGAAGAGGCTCAAGGAAAACCCGTATTTAAAGGTTGGGTAGAAAAAACGAGTGAATATGAATGAGACTGGGAGATGATAAGTAATGGCCTTTGAGAGTACAAGATCTCTAGAGTGGTATAGGTAGAATCAGATTTCCAGCATCAGAACCATCATGCATTTTGGTGGTAGAAGAAAGAAGAGCGAGCCATGAATCGAAAGGCTGAGGGAAGGCCTTTTTTTGGAAGCAGCGGTGGAGGGGGAATAGGAAGATACAGGCCAGAGTGTGTGGATGAAGACATGAGCACAACCATTTTCTTTATAACAAATAAACAACAACTAGCTTCTGACTACAGAAAGAAAAAACCAGTTTGGGAGCATTTCTTATCTTTTAAAATATGCAAGAGAGAGTGATAAGGACTAGAGCAGAATTCTGACAAAGGTCAACGGGGGAAAAATGAACAGCTCGAGCACAATAGCTACTTCACCACGGGATGGTAAAAAGTTTTAAAAAATTATGAAATAGTTCAAGCATACATGAAATAATTTAATAGCAGAACTGCAGTATATTCATAATTGTCATGTACTTAGTTCCTCCTAGATTCATTTTTCTTTAGGATTTTTATGTTATTACCTGCCGGCTGAATGTATTCTGTACGTGCATCCAGTAATCTTCAACTGGATCGTAACAGTATATTGCCTTGGTCAGTCCACCAGCCACATATATCAAGTTGTTTAAGGATACAGCTGTTATACATCTCTTGGCAATTGGGATAGCTGCACGAAGTAGCCAAGAATTGGTTTCTGGATCATAAGATTGAACCTAATACATAGAAATATTTAATTAAAATTTCTAAACAAAAATGTAAATTTGCTTAATAAAAAGCCTATCAATATATAGAAACATATTAAAAGTCAAATCTCATTAATTCACAGAATTAAGAGAGTTAGCTTGATAGTGAACTGTGAAATATGAAATTCTCAAATGTACATTTATTATCAAACAGAATAAAGTAACAAACAGAGATTGCCTCAAGAAGGAATGGCTACCAAGTTTGCTTTACTTATTTCCATGAAAATGAATAGTTCAGGTTTTTAAAAAATTGTATTATATAGCATAACTATGATTTAATCTGAATATAATTTCTTTACACTTTTAGGGATACCTTTCTTCCAAAGAACATAAGTAAATCTCAATTCAGTATACTCTGAATGATAACAAATTCTGAATTAATGAATTTTAAATATGTAACTTTTGACCACACTGTGTAAAGTTAATTTAGAAAAAAAAATTGACAAAATTCAGTTAACTATTGCTAAACCAATTAGGTAATAGACAGTTGTTTCCAGAATAAACTTAGTATTTCCTGAGATGTCAGGGTGGCATAAGTTCCTTTGTCCAGGAGTTCCATGAAATGCAGCAACTTTGAACCATCCTCTATTTATATCACAGAGGTTTCCTTTTCTCATCTTTGTTCTAAAAAATACTTTTAAAGTATGCAGAAAATGACCCAGTTGGAGGCGGCATAATTAGTTACTGTGTCTTATCCCCTTTGCCAATTCATCTCCCAACTGTGTTTTGTGTGAATAATTTTTCGAACCTATTGACTACAGCAGTAAAAGGTTTAAAACAACTTATTTAGTACAAGATCTCAACACTGAAATTAGTATCATTTCAAACAGATCAAATCATGCTTTTTACAGCAAATTGTCAGATATATTAGAATCTCTCTTTACTAACTTGAAATTCAGTATTTTCCCTCAAAAGTATAAAGTACCAAGTTTTAAAAGGCCTTTCACACTAAGGAACCTCGCTATCCCCTTGATAAGCTTTCCATATTTCTCTTCCTATATATGTCATTGGTAATTTCCGTAAGAGAACATGCCTTACCTTATCAGAACAAGTATTATCATCAGGTCCGCCACCAATCACAAACAGTTTGCCTACACAGCTAGTCACAGCAGGAGAACTCACTGCTTCCTTAAGGGGAGCAACTTCAGTCCATCGATTTGAAAAGGAATCATAACATTCTACGCTGCTAAGCCTGTTCTGTCCATCATAGCCTCCAACAACATATACCTATATATAAAATACATGGGGAAAAAAATCTTAATTAACAAAGCTTGAATCCTGAACTAGTTGGCTAAAGAATTAAGTAACCTCTCTCCTTTAAAGAGCACTTGATAACTATAATTGCAATATATTTAGCTCAGATTCTGAAACTTTAAAAAATTTACCACCACCAAGGAGTCTTTTTATTTATTTATTTATTTATTTATTTATTTATTTATTTATTTATTTTTATTGATTTTTCACAGAGAGGAAGGGAGAGAGATAGAGAGAGTTAGAAACATTGATGAGAGAGAAACATCGATCAGCTGCCTCTTGCACATCCCCCACCGGGGATGTGCCCGCAACCCAGGTACATGCCCTTGACCGGAATCGAACCCGGGACCTCTCAGTCCGCAGGCTGACGCTCTATCCACTGAGCCAAACCGGTTTCGGCAAGGAGTCTTTTTAGACATTTTTTTCATAATAGCCTCCTCCAATGAAATTTTAATACCACAGATAATTGTATATCTGTTTATGTACTGTATGTATATCTGTGCTTTATATATGAAACTACATTTTTTTCACCCCCTCAAGAACAAATCTTCACCTCCTTAGGTATAATACTGCTTGAGCTGAGAATTACATGATTAAACTTAAATGCCCACACTCATGAATGATGAAAATATTAGATTATGATAAAGTAAGAAAGCTATGTAAATAAAATACTAGGTAAGGATTAGTAGACTGAGATCTTGGGAGGTAGGGCCTATCTTGTTTGTTGTTTTTTGTTTTTGTTTTTAATATATTTTTATTGATTTCAGAGAGGGAGAGGGAGAGAGAAACACCAATGATGACAAAGAATCACTGATCGGCTGCCTCCTGCACGCCCCCTACTGGGGATCGAGCCCACAACTGAGGTACGTGCCCTTGGCCAGAATCAAACCCAGGACCCCTCAGTCTGAGGGCGGACACTCTATCTGCTGAGCCAAACCGGCTAGGGCTATTTTTTTAAATGTATTTTTATTGACTTCAGAGAGGAAGGGACAGGAAGAGAAAGATAGAAACATCAATGATGAGAAAGAATCATTGCTTGGCTGCCTCCTGGGTGCCCCTTACTGGGGATTGAGCTCGCAATCCAGGCATGTGCCCTTGACCGGAATCAAACCAGGGACTCTTCAGTCCGCAGGCGGAGACTCCATCCACTGAGCCAAACCGGCTAGGGCTTCTTCATTTTAATCTCTACAAGCGCCTAGAAAAGTACCTGACACATAACGAACTCCATACTATATATTTCAAAGGGCTTTCACGTACATTTTCTTTTCACAAATATTAGGAAGATAGGGCAAATTAATATCTTTATATGACAGATGATCTAATCAACAAGCCATTTATTAAATGATCTATATGCAGAATAGTCCATTAAACATAATGAGAAATACAAGACATTTTTAACTAAAGGAGCTCTCCTGTTTAACGTCCAAAGTTCTTTTAAAGGACGGTCATCATCAACTCTTCCCTCCACATCTAATTAACTATTAACACCTACTGAGTCTTCTTTCACAAAATCTCTGACATCTGTCCCTTTCTTTTGTTTCCCATTGCCATTATCCTCCCTCAGGGTCCATATCATTTCATACCTTTCAATTAATCTCCTGGTCTCTAAACCACAGATTAATCTTACTAAAACACCTCATCAACTCCTTTTAATAGTTCAACAATGAATGCCTAAGGGTCAAGGCTAAATGTTATATATTATCATTTAAAGTCTGTCCACAATTTATCTTTCTGTATTCCTCCAAATGTCCACAGCAGCCAATGCCATTTCTATCTTGCTTTTCTCACATTATGATAAAAAAGATCTGTTGGTGGGTTTGTTCTAACACCATGTCGTTCAGAGAGGCTAAGTAACTTACTCAAGGTTATGCAGTTGGAAGGGGTATGGAAACTGTAGTACAATGTAGCCAGTAGGACATAGGCTTTGAAGTCAGGATAGGCAGCCAGACAATGTTAAGACTTTGGGCAATTCTTTCTGAGACTCAGACCTAATTTCTTTTCAAAAAATTTAAAAATTGATTTGAGAGAGAGAGAGGGAGAGAGAGAGAGAGGGAGAGAGAGAGAGAGAGGAAGCAGATAGGGATGGGGGCAGTGGAGAAATGTGAGGGAGGGAGAGGGAAGGAGGGAGAGAGGGAGAGAGGGGGAAAGGGGGAGAGGGAGAGAGGGAAAGAGGGGGAGAGGGAGGGAGGGAGGGAGAGGGAGAGGGAGAGGGGGAGAGGGAGAGAGAGAGAGAGAGAGAGCGCGAGATCAATTTGTTGTTCCACTTACTTATGCATTCATTGGTTGCTTCTTGTATGTGCCCTGTTGGGAATCAAACCCACAGGCTTGGCATACCAGGATGACACTCTAACCAATTGATCTTATCACCCAGCCAGGGCTACCTAATTTTCCCTACATGCATAAATTAAAAATAAGTGCTGTGAGCATCAAGATAAAACACCTCTAGCCTAAGAAAAATCCGAGCTTTTGTTCCTTTATCACTTTCTGTATAACCTTGGGCAAGTGGCTTAATTTCTTGATTCACTTTCTTTATTAATTTAAAAAAATATGTATTTTTAAAATTGATTTCAGAGAGGAAGAGAGAAGGAGAGAGAGAGAAACATCAATGATGAGAGAGAATCATTGACTGGCTGCCTTCTGCAAGCTCCTACTAGGGATCGAGCCCAAAACCCAGGTATGTGCCCCGACCCAGAATTGGAACCGTGACCTCCTGGTTCATAGGTTGATGCTTAACCACTGAGTGATAATGGCTGGCCTACTTTATGAATTTAAAAAATTACAGTAAGTATTCTCTAAGATTCCTTCATGTGCTAAGACTCTATATTCCAAACCATTCTAGGGCTCTTTTACAGAGAACATTTATAAATTTAAATAATTTTATAGGTTTGAATTCAGCCTATATTGTAAATTTTAGGCATAATGGTTTCCATGGATTGAGTACTTGCTATATAAAGTAGAAAGGATTCCTTTTATTTCTTGATTTAGTGATTCCAAATTTTGGGTAGCTTCAAGTCAAGTATACTGATATTTGTGAAATAAATTTGTGTTCATTAATCCATGTATAATATTTGAGAAATAATAATTTTTAATACCTTTGTATGTTGACTAAGTCATTATAATATTTTTAGTTAGACCTCATCTCTTTCCCTTTAGCAGTCCCTTTTTAGTAACATTTTTTCATTCTTGAGGCATAGCTACCAAAACTATATATAATATAGTAGGTACTGCCAAGCCAGTGGCTTTATAAATTATTCTATTAATATTTTCTTTCCATTACATCTATCTCAAGGTCCTCATTATTTCACTGACCTTGTTGACAGCAGCACCACACAAATCAATATCCTTAGGAATTAAAAAAAAATCCTTAGGAATTAACAGTGGCTTTCCGTGTGCTTCGAGAAGCTCTCGTATTCTACAGTAGAGACAGATTATCTAGAAAGCCTCTATGGGCATGGGAGAGGGGAGGCTGGGCGGGAAAGGTTCCTGGTACCATCTCTGTTTCAAATTAGAGCAGTTCTGGTTTCTCATTGGTAGCTCTGAAATATTTCCGTAGGAGAGCCTGCTACTAAGGGACCAGTCAAAAATACATGTGCAAGCAAGTATGCTGTTTTTTCTTAGACTGTTTATTAATTTGAGGAGGCTTTGGAAGAGCTGATAGAGAGGGAGGCAGGGAAAAGCTAAAGGACCCAAGTTAGCTCTTGGAATAAAATTTATATTAGATTTAACTTTAAAAAGGAGGATGTAGTTGCTTTTTAAAAGTTTGGAAACCACTAGTCCACAAGTGATTCTCAAGTTCCTAAGAACAGCAAAGAGTTCAGAACCAAATTACATATTTTTTATAAAACTTATTAGCTGCAGTCAATAACAAGTTTAGTTTAAAATATATTGGTGAGTTTATCTTCACACTTATTTTAAATTTGTTTTGCCCCTACTTGTACAAATAAAAAAGATAAAATAACACCACTCTAGATAAATATATCTCTGCCTGACTGCCAAAGTCAGTAAAAGGAAAAAAACTGCTTGGATTAGACATTGGCTTGTTTTTGTACTTGATGCAACGCCTTTATTTTCCATGTTTCTTAGGCATTTAGACTCCAGTGGCGCATGAAAAGAGAAATGTGGTGTACTGTCACGAATTCCAAATTGAGAGAACAAACTATCCATTCAAAAGTACAGTGTCAAATTGTTTATATCTTCAGTTTATCTATTGAGGTTAGAAATGGAAGGAAATACAATTTGAAGCCAAAATACCCAGAGGGTGAGTAAAATAAAGGATTCAACTGTGGTATTTATTTTGGAAATGTACCAGCAATAGTGATAAAAAGTGGTTTCTCTTACTTTACCAAGGAGGACAGCCATTTTGTGACGCCATCTGCCTTTGTTTAGAGAAGCAACTCTGATCCAAATATTTAACTGTGAATTATAAATCCAGACATCACGGCCATTGATTCTTCCACCTTTAAATGCAAAACAATGCACATTCAATATATATGTATCTATCACCAAAGGATCTATGCCCAAGGCAAAGATAATAAAACACGGGATTTATTCATCCAGTCCAAGAACTTAAGAATTCAGTTCAATAAATGAAAACAAGAACCCTCTGAAAGCTTAATGCAAATAGTTCTACAGAACAGATTTTAACATTGCCAATTGTTATCTTGAGAAATAATTACAGCCCGGCTAGCGTGGCTCAGTGGTTGAGTGTTGACCTATGAACCAGGAGGTTACGGTTAGATTCTTGGTCAGGGCACATGCTCGGGTTGCCGGCTTTATCCCCCGTCGGGGGTGCCCAGGAGGCAGCTGATCAATGATTCTCTCTCATCATGTTTCTATCTCTGTGTCCCTCTCCCTTCCTCTCTGAAATCAATAAAAATATAGTTTAAAAATAAAATAATTATAGGCCTCAAAAAATAAACTGCAGACTCTGAACTTTACAAATGTATACAGATTGTTATTTTAGGAGTTGGTAACCAGAAGCACCCAAAAAACAGAATTATTATTGTTATTTTTAAATATATTTGTTATTGATTTCAGAGAGGAAGGGAGAGGAAGAGAAGAGAGGAACATCCATGATGAGAGAGAATCATCGATCAGCTGCCTCCTGCACACCCCCTACTGGGGATTGAGCCGGCAACCCAGGCATATGCCCTGACCTGTGATCTCCTGGTTCCTAGGTCGGCACTCAACCACTCAACCATGCTTGGCTGGGCCAGAATTACTTTAAAAAACATTTAACAAATGATAGATTTTTAAAAAAGCATACCATTGTACAAAATAAAGTATGTGTTGTTGTATGTTCAATGTGCAGTAATCTAGTAATCTGCAAAGCTAATATGATCACTTAATTAACAGACTTCAGACCATACATACTGTAGTTACAGCAAAAAGTCATCTTGGTTTTATTTGTTGTATAAACTGATCTGCCTAAAGTGGGCATATCCAGTGTCACTGTTTTCTTTTGTGACACTGTTTTAATTTAAAACAGCCAAGCTATGTTCAAATTAAGAGTAGCTACTATAATAATTCTTTATTTACCTGAAACAAGAATGTCATTCCTTAGTGCACAGACTGCATACTCTGATTTGGTAAATTCTGGAAGCTTAGCCAAAGACTTCCATTCTCCTGTCACAGGATCATAGCACTCAGTATATGGAAGATTAAACCCTCCAACTCGTTCACAGCCGCCAACGACAACTATCACCTCAGAATAGCCAGTTGACCTAAAATTATTGTAAGAATAAATAATATATTAAAAATATACTCAAGATTATTTCAGACCCTAAAAACATGCCATTATCATAAAGTGGAATAGTATTATAAACAGTTGAATTCATTCTCTATGAATGTATCAAATAACACAGGCTACCAATTATTACATTGAGAACATTTACAAGGGATTTAGTGTTATCATTTTTTTCCACAGAAAATTCCTACAAGTATTTTTTTTGAGATTGCCTTAAAAATTGTAAAGCAGTCCAAAGAGCCTACCTAACTCAATTGGAACTCTGGTAATATAGGATGATTTTCAAATGAAGTTTTGCAGCAATTCAGATGTGCATAACCACACATGATGATGCACTTTTTCTAAGTGTAGGAAAATGAAATTTTTCTGTCAGATTGCTAGTTCTAAAAAAGCTACTTCACAGTATAATCTACTACCCTGTAAAGGAGTACAGTTATGTGCCACGTAAGTTGTTGTTTGGGTCAAAAACAGACTGCAGATAGAAGGGTGGTCTCATAAGATTGTAATGGAGCTGAAAAATCCCTATCACCTAGTGACATGATAGCCGTCATAAAGTTGTAGTGCAATGCATTACTCGTGTTTATGGAGATGCTGGTGCAAACAAACCTACTGCACTGCCAGTCATATAAAAGTATAGCACATAGATTTATGTATAATACATAATGCATGAAAATTATAATAAATGACTATATTTATGTATTAACTATACTATACTTTAAATCATTGTTTTAGAGTGTACTCTTTATACTTAAAAAATTTGCGGTAAACCAGAATGCTGTGTTATACCAGCAGCAGCCTCATACATTTTGCTTATTGTGTCTCCTGACTGCATTATTTTCTCTTGTGTTTGATTTCATCTCATGCTGTTTTGTGCAGTAACAAGGTGTAGACTGAGGCTTATAGCCTAGGAGCGACAGGTAATGCCATACAGCCTAGGTGTGCAGTGGGCTATACAGCCTATGATGTATGCACAACTATAAAATCACCTAAAGGGGCATTTCTCAGAATGTATACCTTTTGTTAAGCAACACATGATTGTATATGTACAGAAATTATTTAAAAAATTTTTTTAAAGTTAAGTAAATTTAGGTAATCCCACTCAAAATGTTGGTAGTCACTAAAAATGTTAACAACGTTTATAACAAAGAATGTTAAAAAAGCAAAAAGCAAGATAAAAGCTGTACATAAGGTACAATTAATATTTATATTAAAAAGGTCTGCACCCAGCCAGTGTGGCTCAGTGGGTGAGTGCTGACCTATGAACTAGGAGGGCATGGTTTGATTCCTGGCCAGGGCACATGTCTGGGTTGCAGGCTCGATCCCCATAGGGGGCGTGCAGGAGGCAGCCAATCAACGATTCTCTCTCATCATTGTTGTTTCTATCTCTCTCCCTCTCCCCTCCTCTCTGAAATCAATAAAAATATATTAAAAAAATAAAAATAAAATAAAATAAAATAAAATAAGAAAGGTCCTGGCTGGTGTGGCTCAAGTTAGTTGAGTTGTCCCATGCACTGAGAGTTTACAGGTTTGATTCCCAGTCAGGGCACATGCCCAGGTTGTGGGCTTGATCCCCAGTAGGGGCGTGTAGGAGGCAGCCAATTGATAGTTTTCTCTCGGTGATATTTCTCATTCTCTCCCTCGCCCTTCCTCTCTTCTTTCTAAAATCAATAAAAACATATTTAAAAAATAATAGACCAAAATGCTAATGATGATTGTTTCTGCATGTGTGGCTTCCCACTTTCTAGTAACATAAAATTTTAAAACAATAATGAGCATGGGCTATTTTTAGAGTGGAAAAAACAACTTTTAAGAGCATTAAGAGAGTCCCAAAATTTATGTTAAACACTGGCTTTTTAATTTGTACTTTAAACTTAAGAGAGAGACAGGAAAAACTGAGAGCTCATCCAAGCTCTTTTTGTTCATAAGGGTCTATGGAATTTTAGTTAGTTGGCTTTGCCCAGGCCAGTGTGGCTCAGTTAGTGGGAGTGTCGTCCTATGCACCAAAAGGTTGCTGGTTCGATCCCCAGTCAGGGCACATACAAGTATCAACCAATGAATGCATAAATAGGTAAAGTAACAAATCAATCTCTCTCTCTCTCTCTCTCTTTCCCTCCCTTCCTACTTTTAAAATCAATAAATAAAAATTCTAAAAAATTTTTGAGATACGGTTTTCACTTTCCAGAGTAGCAAAGATTTACAAAAACTAATAATATGATAATGTTGACAAAGGAATTGAGAAATAGACACTTTCATATTTTTGGCTGAAGTATAGCTTGGAAGAAAATTTTATACAGTAACTACCAAAATTAAAAATGCCCATATCCTATGACTGCGCAATTCTATTTCTAGTAATTCAAGTTATAAATTATCAGTGAATGCAGACATATGCACAATACTGAGCATTCTTTGTAATAACAAAAATCTATAAACAACTTAAACATCTATCATTAAGAGATGAATCAAATAAGTTATGGTATACTATACAGCTTTTAAAAAATTATTTGAGGCCTGGCCAGTGTGGCTCAGTGTTGGAGCACTGGCCATAGGATCGAGGGTTTGATTCCCCATCAAGGGCACATACCTGGGTTGCTGATCTCCCCCTCCCACCTTCCCACCCCACCTCCTACCCCCAGCCTCAGTTGGGACATGTGTGGGAGGCAACCAACTGATATGTCTCTCTTACATTGATGTTTCTCTCTCTCTCTCTCCACCTCCCTCCCTCCCTCCCTTCCACTCTCTCTAAAAATCAATAGAAAAAATATCCTTGGGTGAGGATTAACAAACAAAAAAGATTAAAAAAAATCCATAACAAAAATAAAAATAAATGAAAAAAATAAGTCGTTTATGTGGCGATGTAGAACAATCTCCAAGATACTTTTAAGTGATAAAAACAAGGTGCAAAAACAAACAAAAAAAACAAGGTGCAAAACTACAGTACCCTACTATCTGCATAAACAAAAGTGGGGAGGTATGTGGTATGCATACATACACATACACACACACACACACACACACACACACACACACACACCCCACACTTATATACAAAGAATATTTCTAAAAAGAGTTCAAAAATTTGGTAACAGAGGTATCCTTTGGGACAACTGATATACCAAAGGTCAGGTAGAGGAAAAATTACAATATATATGCTGTTATGTAAAAATGTTAGAGTTCAAAATAACAATGAATTAACATGTATTTAAGATGGGAAACCATGTACCCTATAGTATAGAATAACATCCTTAAGAGGGACTAAAACAAAAATTCAGAACAAAAAATTTTAGTCTTGGCTCTGCCACTAAGTAACTTTATGACAAGAACAAATTGGTTCATTTAACTGTGCTTCAGTTTTATCACCTATAAAATAAAGAATGAAGGTATTTATTAATCTTACAACACTATTTTTTTAGATTCAACATTTTTTTGTATTAGTTTCAGGTGTACAGCATAGTGGTTAGATAATCATATTACTTTACAAAGTATCCCCCCTGATATTTCCAGTACCATCTGGTACCATCAATAGTTATTACAATATTATTGACTATACATCCTGGTGGCTATTTTGTCACTACCAATTTGTACTTAATCCCTTCAGCTTTTATACCCAGTCCCCCGGCTCCTCTCCTTTCTGGCAAGCATGAGTCTTTTTTCTGTATTTAAAAGCCTCTTTCAACTAAAACACCATTTCTTTAAAGAACACACAAAAAGCTCTCATCTTAGTTTCCTCAAATGGTTTCTAGTAGGAACTTGAACCTTGTTTTCATTATGGCAGTTATATTCCGATATTCATTATATAGTAACTGATTATTAGATAAGAGGTAGGAGCTTATTAAATAGTAGAGGCCTGGTGCACGGGATTCGTGCACTGGTGGAGGGCGTGGCCTGTGGGGATAAGCCTGCTGTGGCAGCACCGCTCATCCCAGTCTGCCGAGTGGCTGTGCACCTGCCCTCTGAGCGACTGCTCCCTGGTTCGGCATCTTTTGTGGAGCCGGAGTACTCACTTCTCCAGGGGAACTGGTCGGGGACGGGCCCAAAGCCAATAGCACTGAGAAGCAGTGGAGTAGGCCTCAGTCCCACGGTGGCCATGAACCCACCTTCCAGCCTCCAGGGTCAGCGCTGCGCAGCCTGCGGGCGTCCAGAGGAGGTGGTAGGGAGTGAGGAGGAGGAGCCTGGGGCAAGGAGGCGATGATCGCAGCCCCGGGTTCTCAGCGGGAGCAGCCGCTCATCCTGGTCAGCTAAGCGGAGCTCCCACTGTGGTAGCACACTGACCACCAGGGGGGCAGCTCCTGTGTTGAGTGTCTGCCCCCTCGTGGTCAGTGCCATCATAGCGACTTGTCAAATGGTTGTTCTGGTCGTTTTGCTGTTAGGTTGCTGGGCTTTTATTATATAGGATTAGCTACCTATTGCTCAATTGAGCATAGCAAAGAGCATTGATTTTTTTCTCATAGATATGAACAATTTATGCTTAAAATGAACCATCTGATAGCAAGCATTTCTGCCTCAATCACATTTCCTATTCTGTAAAAGTACAGCATATACTTAAAATGTATTTTCTTCATGAAACCAGTAATAATTTTTATTATGTTTTTTTTTTTGGTGTGTCAAATGCTAGGTTATGCATTCTTTCATATGATATCTCTAATACTCACAATTTAAAAAAAATATATATTTTATTGATATCAGAGTGGAAGGGGTAGAGAGAGAGAGAAACATCAATGATGACAGAGAATCACTGATTGGCTGCAGACCCACAATGGGGATTGAACTTGCAATCCAGGCATGTGCCCTTGACCGGAATCAAATCCAGGACCCTTCAGTCCGCAGGCAGATGCTCTATCTACTGAGCCAAACTGGCTAGGGCACTCACAACAATTTTACAAGGTAGATAATATTATGCTCATTTTACAGATGTGAAAACTGATACATAGTGAAGTTAAAGTGCCTTGCCCAAGATCATAGAATTAACTAGTGTAGAGC